GAGAGAGGGAACACAAGCAGGGGGAGTGGGAGAGGGAGAAGCAGGTTCCCCACCGAGCAGGGAGCCGGACGTGGGGCTCGATCCCAGGACCCTGGGATCATGACCTGAGCCGAAGGCAGACGCCCAACAACTGAGCCACCCAGGCGCCCCTAAATTTGGGTTTTTTAAAGGGTTACTCTGGCTGCGCGGTGCTGAGAACGGACCGTCTGGGGGCGCGGGTCGACATAGGGGGCCGCTGACGAGAGGGGTCAGCGTGGAAGACGAGGGTGGGCGAGAAGCAGGTAGTGGCAGTGGGGATCGAGGGGAAGGGACCCGTTCTAAGAAAGATCAGTTAGAACCAGCAGGCTTGCTTAGGCAGGATGGGCAGTCACTCTGGGGGATGCGGCAGCTGGCAGGTGCAGGCACCCACCCTGTCCCCGGGTTGCCAGGCGGTCCCATTCCGCAGGTGCTGGACGGAGAGATGTACCCCCCTTCGGTGGAGGAGGCGGCTGTGTTGATGCACTACCCGCGAGGCATTCTGCCCCAGAGCCAGATGGCCGTGGGCCAGGAGGTGTTTGGGCTGCTTCCCGGGCTCATGCTCTATGCCACACTCTGGCTTCGTGAGCACAACCGCGTGTGTGACCTGCTGCAGGCTGAGCACCCCACGTGGGGTGATGAGCAACTCTTCCAGACGGCCCGCCTCATCCTCATCGGTGAGGACTCCAGACCAGCCCTGTCCTGGAAGGTCATGTCCTCTGTCCCGAAAAGCAGGTGTTGGGGGGCTGGGGGAGAGAGAGCTGGGATTAGGACCCTAGCTCCTCTGCTTACTAGGTAAGACCTTGAGCAGGTCCCTTCCACTATGTGAGCTTCAGTTGCCAAACCTGGGTAGCGGGGATAATGATGGTTGTGAGGATTTGTTGAGATGGTGACAAGCACTTAGCACATAGTAGGCCTTCGGAAAATGGACGGCCGTGATGGTCGATCATTAGCTGGGTAACTTGCGGCAGATTTGATTAGCCACCCCAATCTGTTTGCCCATCTACTGCCCCAGAGGCACATAGTGACATCCCCAGCTTGTGCAGGTCAGACTCCAGCCTGTTCAGCCCTCCGGAATCCTCATGTTTCTGCCCTGCGTGTATCTGCCTTCCTGGAGTTTGGTAGTTTCTGGGTGCCTCAGGGACAGGATATTTTTGTGTCTCCTACGGGGGCGAGTCAGCAGCCTAAAATGTCAGATGGTTTCCTGCCTGGGAGCTTGGTCCCTGACACCACTGTCCAGACCGTCTTCACTCTGAGTCACCAGTGATCCCTTTCCCCTGCCTCTGGTGGGCATCACTGGGCATGACTGGTCCCAATTATATTGCCTGATTCACTAGAGCCTGGAAGAGCCAGGCATCAAGGATAGGAACAGCCTAAAGGAGAGGGGGCTGGTTCTGAAGTCCCAGCATTTTGGACACTTTGACCAAAGAGGGCAAGGCTGTGGCTGAAGGCTGCCCAGCATATTGCCTGGTATCGAAGCTGTGACCAAAGGTGATGAAGCTATAAATCCAGTGCTTTGGTTAATCCTCCCCAACAACTTTACTAACCAGATATGATTGCCTTTGTTGTAAAAATTAAGATTCAGAGAGGTTAATGAAATCTCCAAGGCCTCTCAGCAGAGGGAGATTTGAGCTGGGCCCGGCTGCCACGTCCCAAAGGGAGTGAGCGCCTTCCTGAGTGGCGGGGGGTTCCCCGCACGCCTACACTTAGCACTCCTCCTTCCTGCTTGCATGTGGTCAGAGTCCCAGTTATGCCGGGCCCTGGGCCACGCAGCCGCTGTCCACTTCCCAACGGCCCTATCCGTAGCATCGTCACACACATTTTACAGATCAGGAAGGTGAGGTTCAGAGAGCTGAAGTGACACAGCCCAAGCTCGGGGGTGACTAGAAATGGTGACACCAGGCTCTGGAGCTTGCTGATGGCAAGTCTCACGGCTCCAGATCAATTTGCTAGAAGCCAGTTTGTCTTGGGGCTAATTGGCCCAAATCATCAGTTTCTTTTCCTATCTAGATAACCAGTTTTGATTCTGTTATGGAACGTTCAGTGTGTTTCTTCCCTGGCTCTTTGCTCTGGTTACTGAGAGGGCAGAGAAAAGGTATTTATGAGAATTCTGATATGTAAGAACATACGAGAACTGCACGGGGGACTAGAGTCATCTTATATCCTCAGCCTCCCTCTTTTGCTGCTGTGGCAGCTCTGAGAGCTCTCTCTGAAGCCTCCCTCGCCCCCAGAGGGTGTCCGCAAGCTGAGGGCTCCCACGAAGCCAATCTCCACTTCCCCGCTTTCAGGTTCTTCTTTTCCATGTCCTGCTTAGCTGGGCCGACAGCCTCCCTGTGGAACGTGGGAGTAGCCCGGTGGCTCTTGTCTTGGGACACCGGTCCAGCCTGAGACAGAAGGCTCCATTTTCCCCCCCCCCCACAAAAAGACAAAGTGAAAGCACCCCCCCCCCCAATTCAACAGTAACAGTAACATCCAAGAAGCCAAGAGCAAGCAAGCACTCTCCCGAGCCCGGTGGCTGGGTCCCTGTGTTTCCCTGACACTTGTCCCAATCCTCCCTCCCAGGGGAGACCATCAAGATTGTGATTGAGGAGTACGTGCAGCAGTTGAGCGGCTACTTCCTGCGGCTGAAGTTTGACCCGGAACTGCTGTTCAGCGCCCAGTTCCAGTACCGCAACCGCATCGCCATGGAGTTTAACCAACTCTACCACTGGCACCCACTCATGCCCGACTCCTTCAAGGTGGGCTCCCAGGAGTACAGCTACAAGCAGTTCCTGTTCAACACCTCCATGCTTGTGGACTACGGGGTCGAGGCCCTGGTGGACGCCTTCTCTCGCCAGAGCGCTGGCCGGGTAAGCCTCTGCGGGGAGTGCAGGGAGGGCAGGTGGGCTCTGGAAGGTGACAGACCTGGACCCAAATCCCAGTGTTGTTTTCTGTTCCATGGGGCTGGTGTCCCTCTGACATTCCTTCCTCCATTCCTTCATTCCTCCTCTTGTTCTTTTGTTCATTCCACGGTACCAGGTGCGGGGATAGAGTGGCGAGCGAGAGCAGACGTGGTTCTTGGGTCCTTGTCCCCTTGGCACTGACACCCTAGTGAGGAACCATTGTCATGTAACAGCTAACATCGTGTGAGCACTTGCTTTGTGTCAGGCACTGGGCCAGGTGCTGTCTGATGTTAGCAGAATTATAAGGGCATGTTAAGAGCCACAGTCCAGAAAGACCTTGGTGCTCTGGGCACTTGGAGAGGGGCTTGGGACCCAGAGTTGAGAGCTGTAGATAAGGAGATGTTGTCTGAGCAGAGATCCAGAGGGTGGATAGAGCTCTCCCAGGGAAAGAGGTAGTGTTAATGGCAGGGGATGATCGTGCTCTGGGGGAGGGGACAGCAAGGCAAGGGCCTGGAGGTGAGAGGGCATGGCAATTTGAGGACCATGAGAACATTCAGGGTATGGTAATATATGAGAAAGTGTCTTCACATAGTAGGTCTTTATTGAATTACAGGCCTCCGTGATGGGCTGAATTGTCCCCACCACCCCCCCACTCATATGTTGAGGTCCTAACAAGCAGTGCGTCAGAATGTGACTGTGTTTGGAGACAGGGCCTTTACAGAGGTAATTAAGGTTAAATGAGGTCCAAGGGTGGGCCTCTACTGTGACTGGTGTCCTTATGAGAAGAAGAGATTAGGATGCAGAGGTGCAGAGTGGGAAGACTTAGGGAGAAGATGAGCCAAGGACAGAGACCTCAGAATGAAACCTACCTTGCTGACATCTTGATCTTGGACTTCTGGCCTCCAGACTGTGATGAAATAAATTTCCGTTGTTTAAGCTACCCAGGCTGTGATACTTTGTTATGGCCGCCCTGGCAAACTAATATGGCCCTTTCCCTGGAATTTCTAACCAGCAGCCTCCTAAATCTCCCCTCCCCCCACGCTTGGAAACCCCTGTCTCCTCTGTCTCAGCTCCCCTCAGCCCTGCTTCTCTCTGATCCTTGTTCCCAAGCCCTATCGTGACATCGTGACACCATGTGGATTTAGGTTTACCACCGGTAATTGGACTGGAATTAGCATGCGCTGCCACCAATGGGCAGCTGCTGGCTGGTTTATGGCCTCTGTTCTCTGTGGGGACACAGACATGGACAGAGACAGTAGATTTATGTTGGGCTATATGGACTACAAAGCATTTTCTTTATTTTATTTTATTAAGATTTTTTTTTATTTATTTGACAGAGAGAGACACAGCGAAAGAGGGAACACAAGCAGGGGGAGAGGGAGAGGGAGAAGCAGACTCCCCGCTGAGCAGGGAGCCGGATGCGGGGCTCGATCCCAGGACCCTGGGATCATGACCTGAGCCGAAGGCAGACGCTTAACGACTGAGCCACCCAGGCTCCCCTGCAAAGCATTTTCAAGGAACGGACATGACTCTGTGTGAAAAGTCCTGGTGTTGTGCTAGGCCCAAGGCAGAAGGGTGACAGAAGTGTGTCGGCTCTCAGGATATTCAAGAGAGCGTGAGAAGTAGTAAAACAGGGCTTCTCCTGATCATCACCACACATGGCTGCCATCTTGGGGGTTACCATGGGAGCAACGCTGTGGTAACTGCTTTGCATACTTTATCTTGCTCATTCCCCACAACCGTATCAGATGGGTGCTCTTACCTTCCCCATTTTTGCGTATGATGAAACTGAAACAAGTAATTTGCCCAAGGTCCCTGGCTGACTTTCCCAGGGCTGCCATAACAAAGGACCACAAACTGAGTTTATTTTATTATTTCACATTCCTGGAGGTTAGAAGATGTGGGCAGGGCCACGCCTCTCTGAAGGCTCCCAGCAAGAATCTGTTCCATGCCATTGTCTTAGCTCCTGCTGGCTACTGGCAATCCTCTTAGACACATCACTCCAACATGGAGTCTCCCTGAGGCTCTGTTTTCTCTATTAGGACACCAGTCATTGGATCAGGATCCCCGTAATGGACTATGACCTCCTCTTCACTTGATGACATCTATTTCCAAATAAGGTCACATACACAGGTGCTGGGGGTTAAGACTTCACCATATCTCTTTGGGGGACACAAATCAACCCACAATGGTCCCACAGCTTGTAACTGGCAGAGCTGTTTATTTAAGCTTTGTGTGTATACACTGTAGTTTTCATGGCAAGATTTTAGCTCCCTCTCTGCTAGCTTATGACCGCTCCCCACACTGGAGACTTGGCAGAAGGAAGGAGAACCAACAGATTTAGTCACCTATGTTCCCATGAGTGGCTTTATCTGGAATGAATGGAGTGACATGATACTGTGTGATCCTACCATCCGGCTCTGAGTTTCTCTTTCCTAATGGTGGTTGGTTAATAGTGGTTCACTTTTTAATTATTAAATTTTTGTTGACTCTCAATGCTATGACACAGGGAATGAAAACCAATAGAAAAACACTCCTTAGCAGGACCCCCTTGAAAGATGAAGTATCTGTATTCTTTGATAAGAATGGGTTTGAAGAATGCCATAAAAGTTTCAGCCCCCAAAACTAATATCCGTCCATCCTTTTGTTTCTCATTTGCTGTCTCAGAAACCCCTCTGTCCCTCCAAATTTCATTTCCAGAGCCAGAATGCCCTTCCCCTCTGCTTGAGCTCCTGGCTGGTGCCATACTGGCCATCTCTTTTATGGAATCCTAGTTGCTAAAACTAAAAGTTGCAGAACCTTCTGTAATGGAATGTTGGTATCTCACCTAGATGCAAAGAGTTGGGGAACGGTGTGGCTGGTGAGCCACTGGAGAGGTCCTCTTGGCCCACTGCCACTTTAATGATGAGGAAGCAAAGACTCAAAGGTGTCTCCGAGAGAGCATGACAGCAGCAGAGTGGGGCCAGGTCCCCAGCATGGTGGCTGCTGGGTGCAGCCGTGCTCTGTCCGCGCTTGGGAAGAGCTCCTGACCTGAACTCTTCCTCCAGGACAGCGTGGCCTGGCTCTCAGACTGCAGCTATGTTTATGTCTTGGCAGATTGGCGGGGGTAGAAACATAGACCACCACGTCCTGCACGTGGCTGTGGAGGCCATCAAGGAATCCCGAGAGCTGCGGCTGCAGCCCTTCAATGAGTACCGCAAGAGGTTTGGCATGAGGCCCTACACGTCCTTCCAGGAGCTCACAGGTGAGCAGCTGTTTCCTGGACCTGGGCCCTGCCCTCAGGGATTTTCAGTTAAGTGAGGAGGACATTGTGGAAACAGAATGGGGTGTTAGCCCCCAACGCTATGACTGTTGGGGTCATGAGAGGTGTGTGAGCACGGTGCTGGGGGGCGGTGAAGGGAGTGAAGGGAAAGAAAGTGGCTTCTCAGCTGCGTTTGAAGAAGATAAATAGGGATTTTCTGGATGGAGAATGAGGGGAAAAGCATTTTACATGGAAGAACAGAAAGTACAAAGGCACAGAGGTCATAAAGAATGAGCCTGTTGGGGAGGACAGTGGGGGTTGCAGCTGGAGCAAGGTGCTTATGTGTGGGGAGGGCGGGGGTTAGGGATGGGAGCTTGGGGCCAAATTGTGGATTCTATGTGAAAGAATTTGGGTTTTACTCTACCTAGTGGTTCCTAAATACATACTTATGGACCAGCTGCCTAAGAATCACTTAGAAAACTGATTAAAAATACCAAATCCCAGATCTCTCTCCCCGAGATTCTGATTCAGTGGGCCTGCATGGTGCACAAGAGTCTGTCTGTGTGTGTGTATAATATATATACTTTCTTCTTTTTTTTTAAGATTCCATCTGTTGGGCAGCCAAGAGTTTGGGAACCCTTGTCACAAACAGTGGGAGGGTTTGACCAGTGTGTGACATGACCCTAGTGCCTTATAGAGCGTGGGTTTGAGGAAGTGGCTAGGGAAGCTCTGCATCTGTCCCCTTTGGTCACTGTCTATGAATGTGTGGGCCTCACTGGGGAGTGAGTTCCCCATAATTCTGTCACTCTAATCTCCTGTGACAGTCCAGAGGGGGAAAAGAACACTGTAACTAAATCTCTCTGTGAGCTGGGACAGGTTACATTACATCTCTGAGCTCCAGCAGAATGAAGGGACTTGCACCAGCATACGTCCTTGAAATGAGCCTGTGAAGCAAGATGGATGGCATCTCCCTGTAGTCACCGTCAGGCAGTTAGGGCACCGAGAAGAGAGATGAGTTGCTCAAGGCCACGTGCTGTCTGGTGGCCGATCCAGGCTCTAGATTCCTTCTTCAGCAGCAAATTTCTTCCCTAGATGCAGCCCTAGAGAAGGGCCGGTCAGCCAGGCCAGATGTTAGGGCATGTGCTCAATTGTTCAGTTGCTCTTCTGAAGTCCCATATTCTCCCCAGAAAAAGTAGGCTTAGAAGCTTCCCTCCCCTCATTGACCTTAATGGCACCACGTCTCTGACTCTAGCTCCCCGCCTTTCAGGGGAGAAGGAGATCGCAGCCGAGTTGGAGGAGCTGTATGGACACATCGATGCCTTGGAGTTCTACCCGGGGCTGCTTCTGGAGAAGTGCCATCCAAACTCTATCTTTGGGGAGAGTATGATAGAAATTGGGGCTCCCTTTTCCCTCAAGGGCCTCCTAGGGAATCCCATCTGCTCTCCAGAGTACTGGAAGCCGAGCACATTCGGTGGTGAGATGGGCTTCAATATGGTCAAGACAGCCACACTGAAGAAGCTGGTCTGCCTCAACACCAAGACTTGTCCATACGTCTCCTTCCACGTGCCCAACCCTCACCAGGATGGCGGGCGTGGTATGGAGCGGCCATCCACAGAGCTCTGAGCGGGTGGAGCAGCAGCTGGAGGGTGGGTTTTGTGTCTGTCATCCCAGAAAGCTGAGTCCAGGGTTGATAGTCTCAAATGTTGGGTCTTGGGTTTGGCATCAAGAGCATCAAGGTCGACATTTAGAACTTTGTGTCTCTCACCCATTACCTGGAATATCGTGGTCTTGTTTGTTATTCTAGAATGCTGAATTCCTGGTTGACCATCTAGAATGTTAGGAGGGATTCTTCTTTGGCATGCCAGAATACTGGGTTCCTGGCTGACACCTAGAATATCAGATTTCTGGTTGACTTGGAACATAGGTATTCTAAAATGTGGAGCTCCTGATGAAACCATCTAGAAAGGTAGGGGATTCTTATTTTGCATTCTAGAATTCTGGGTGGCCTTCCAGAAATTTGATTTTCTGATTGGCAGCTCAGAATGTTGTACTCCTGGTACCTGATCCAGGACGGTGGCTGGTATGTCAGCTCAGTCTTGATCTGAATGCCTAAAATGGTAATTTGATTCATTTTCCTGTTCAGTGAGCTATCCACAAAGCAGGAGAACCTATGGTCTAACAAGAATGCATTGCCCACTTCTGTGCCTGCACCGAGGGGGCAAGATGCCGGGTGTTCTTGGGACCCTGACTTAGACCCTGGTCCAAGGAGGTAGAGAGAACAGGTGGGCTTTTTCCAGGCCATTGGTTGGAAGCCACCAGAGCTCTGTCGCCATCTTTGTCTTGACTCATGGCAGCTGTTTCACATGAAGCTAATAAAATTCTTTTTCCAAACTGCCTGCTATGTATTGCTTTTCATCCCATTCCAGAAGCAGAGGCGACACTGGAGTGGCCTCTCTCCTAGCTGCAAGCTTGATGTGCTAGAGGTAGCAGCATGAGACCTTCCACTGCCCTTGGAGCCTGTTATTGCCTAGCTCTTCTACCAATGATGCCCTATTTCCGGCTGGGGGGCAGGCATTGCCCTTCACAGGCTGCTCTCCTAAAATATACAACTGCCCAACCCCAGGGGACAGAGCACTCAGTTCCTACCATCTGGCTAAAGCAATTTCTTCCCTTACAAAGCATACGCGGGCAGAGATGAAGGGTATCTGGGAAGGAGGGCCTTACTGTGTGCCAATTTTCCACATTTAATTCTCATTTATTCTCACCCAAGAGCATGAAGTATGTGGTATAATCCTTGTTTCAAAAACAAGGGAACTGAGATCCAAGATGGTCCAGTGCCAGGCCCCACAAGGTGCCAAAGCCAGGCCAGGACCTGGGTCTGGCTGAATCTGGGGCTCTGCTCTTCCCCGCTCTGGCTTCCTCTTGCTTCCTGATTTGACTCAGTTCCAGGCCTGATCTTGCCTCTCTGGCTCAGGGTCAGAGGCAGAAGATGGGGTGTGGCTCTTACATGCTATTCTTTCAGTCACAAATATTTATTTTGCTAAGTGCTTACTATACACCAGTCACTGTTACAGGCTTGGGGCTATAGCAGTGAGTGATCAAGACAGACAAGGCTTTTTTTTCGTCTGTGCGGAGCTCACGTTCCAGTGTGGGTAGAGCAGACGGGAAACAAGATAACAATGAAATAAGACAAAGGCAGGGTGAGTGTGCTTTCCCTTCTAACCCATACTACTCTGCCCTCCTCCTGTTTGGCTCCTGAGACCTGAGACCCTATCTCAGCCACATAGGCCACCCCCAGCCCATCCCTGCCCCCCATAGCCAGCCAAGGAGGTCAGAGGGGAAAGGTAAGAGGTTGGGAAAGTTCCTTCATGCTCCCCACTTGGGGCTTAGATTTCCTTAAGAAGAATAATGGCCCAGAAACAATGAGGGAAAATGGGGTCCAGGCTGAGGGTCCCTGGGGCTGGGGTTCCTGTCTTACAGTCCAGAAAGCCCTTGTTTCTCCTTAGTTGGCTGGGGACTGCTTCTGCCATTCCTTCCTGGCCCTGTTGAATGCAGAGAATGCAATCTTTCTCAGCTCCCCAATTGCTCTGCTGATCAGGGATCCTTCGGCTGCTGAGAGTGGGCACAGAGCGCCTGTCTTGTCCTTGCTTACCTGGTATCGATTTCCCCTCTTTGCTAATACCCCGACTTGGCCTGAGAATCCACCCCTTGTCATTAATTTCACTCTTGGTGGTTCCATCAGGGGCCCTATCATGGCCAAGGGGTGGGTCTCTGAATCAATCCTGGCCAATCAGACACCCTCTCCTTTTAAACTGGCCGCTGAGTGGAGTTGCATGGAGATTGAAATGACGGACTGATTCATCCCCACAGCTGGTCTCTGAAAAGATTGTCCCTTAGTTCCTGTTTCTAAGGTCACTGGGGAAGCCTGGGTTCCTGCCCTTCTCAAGACCTCAGCTTTTCCTTCCTTCCTTGGGGCTGCTCCATGAATTCCTCTTTCACTTAAGTTGGTCAGAGTTGGTGTCTTAATGGCTGTTGGCCTGAGATGACAGAGAACTATGATGATCTGGAAGGAATTTTAATCAAGGGAGACACAATTAGGCTAGTGTTTTAAGAAAGAGCACTGCGGGGGGGGGGCCTGGTGGACAACAGGATAGAGCAAGAAGGACTGAAGGTTGGCAGAATGGTGAGGAGGCTGTGGCCATGGTCCAGCTGAGAGGCAACAGCAATTGGAGCCAGGTGGAGGGCTGTGGGGATGGGACAATGGGATGGATTCCAAGGATCATCTTCTCTTGAATGCTGTGCCTAGCTGAGGTGGGTTTTGTTTTGTATGGACAACTGTATATGAAATTTTTTTTTCACACAGAAACTTATGTCCAATGCACCAAGAAGGCTTCTTCAGAGTAAAGGCTCTGACTGCTCATAAAATGATTGCTCATTCCTGGAATCTTGATCTGGCAGGTATGACAGTCAGTTTTATGTGTCAACTTGGCTGGGCTACAGTACTCGGTAATTTAATCAAACACGAATCTAGGTATGGCTGTAAAGGTATTTGGCAGACATGGTGAACATCTATAATCTGTTGACTTTAAGCAAAGATTACCCTGATAACATGGCTGGGCCTCATCTAATTAGTGGAGAGGACTTAAGAGTAAAAACTGAGATTCTCCAAGAGAAGAGGAAATTCTGCCTCGAGACTACAGCCTCAACTCCTGCTTGAGTTTCCAGCCTGCCATATGGATTTTAGATTTGTCAGCCTGATGAAGTATGAGCCAGTTCCTAAAAATGGAGCCGTTCATCTATCTATCATCTATTTATCATCTATCAATCTATCATCTATCTATATCTATCGATCTATCATCTAGCATCTAGCATCTATCATCTATTGATCTATCAATCATCTATCGATCTATCATCTATCATCTATTGATCTATCATCTATCTATCGATCTATCATCTATCTATCGATCTATCGATCTCTCATCTATCTATCTATCAATCATCATCTATCTATCTCTCTATCACCTCCTATTGGTTCTGTTTCTCTAGAGAACCCTGACTGACACAGTGGGTGATGCTCAGGGCTCTCAGTGCAAACAACAGAACTCCCTCCAGCCCGTTTAAGCAGGAAGGAATTTATTAGGGACTCTGCGCAGCTCATGGAACCATTGCCAGGACCAGAGAATTAGGCTCGGAGGCTTTGTGGCCAGAAACAGCAGCCCCTGGTCCAGTAAAGAGGCCTCCGCTCCTGCCACATATCAGACGGCACCCCTGCTGCTAAAATGAGACCTGGCGGCTTCTCCGGCCACCCCTGCCAGAAAGTGGGTTCATTCTGCATGGTGCCTGCTTCCCCGCTTTTCTCTACTTAGAATTAAAGTCATTTTTAGTTCATGTCCGATTAGTGGAGCCTAGCCCCATGCTTGCGCTCTAGCTCCAAGAGAGGCGGGAGGGACGGAGTTTTCTGGCTTGCACCCTTTGGGGGAGGGACCCATAATGCGGGAAATTCATACATAAGAAGGATGTTCAAAGGGACTGAGGGACAGGGAAGGTCTCCTCAGTGGATCAGAGTATTCCTGGGTCCGTTTTGCCTCTGTGGGCCCTAGCCTTGGAACACCGCAAAGAGCATCGCAATGGCACCGTTGTTGATCCTGCAGCAGCTCAAAGTAATTGCAAGCAAAGAACGTAAGAAGTGAAATTTCAGAAATACAGAACAGTAGAGGTGCAAAGACAGTCGAGTACACATAGCCCACTTTTTCTAATAACGTTTGAGTAGAAAGTGTCAAAAATGTCAGACATGCCTATGACCGACTTTCCTGCTTAAGCATGCTTTTCCTATAAAAATGGACTTTAAGGGGCGCCTGGGTGGCTCAGTTGGTTAAGCGACCGCCTTCGGCTCAGGTCATGATCCTGGAGTCACAGGATCGAGTCCTGCATCGGGCTCCCTGCTCAGCAGGGAGTATGCTTCTCCCTCTGACCCTCCCCCATCTCATGCTCTCTCTCTCTATCTCATTCTCTCTCTCAAATAAATAAATAAAATCTTTTTAAAAAATGGACTTTAAAATAGCTTTGTGTGAATGACAGTAAAGAATATTAAAACTTCAGTGACACTTTTATAGAGCACTCTTGAGGGAACTCCAATAAAATGCTTGCCTCATGATCTTGATTTTAGTTGTTATTCGTGTTTCATTCATTCAGAGTTGGTTTCCTCCCAGGTTGGGTCAAAAAAAAATTTTTTTTTTCCTCTCTCAATCTTTCTACTTTTGGTCAAAAGGACTTTTGAACCCACTTTTGAACCCCCAAAGCATAACTTCGGGCTTGGTATTTTGGGTTTTAGGACAACGTGGCAATACATTCTTGTGGACTTCTGTGGTGAGTTCTCTCCTGCCCCACCCCCCCACCCCTGTCACCTGGGAGTATAACATACATACAACAAAGTGTGCTAATCTTAGTGCATACCTCAATGAATTTTTACATAAACTCAAGCAACCACCAAAAATCCAAGACACAGAACATTTGCAGCACTATAGCCTCTTTTGTGCCCTTTCCTGGTCTAAAACCTACAAAATGTAACCACTCTTCTGACTTCCATCCCCACTGGTTAGTTTCGTCTGCTTCTAAATTTCATTTGAACAGAGTCATACAAGTATGTATTCTTGTGTGTGTCTGGCCTCTTTTGCTCAAAATTTCTGTTGACATCCATGTTGTTGTGTCTATAAGCAGTTTGATATTTTTAAAATTGCTTTGAAATAATGTGTACCACAAAGGATTTATCTAGTCTACTGTTGATGGACACTGGGGTTGTTTGCATTTTTTGACTAGTATGAATAAAGCTGCCTCAGTGGCAGATTTTAACTTATAATGAAATGTCTATTTAAAATGTCATCTTTTATCACATTTATTATGGGAAATGGTTCTTGTTCTCTATTCAAAATCCCCTGCTGTGTCTTCTGCTTTACAGCTTGATGGAAAGAGAAAATAGATTCACTAGTGTGATATGCCCCAATAGAGAAGGGGAAAGGAAATATAAATTAATTAAGAGCCTGCTCTGTGGCATGTACTTTTCCTGTCCACTTCATTAACTATTAGCCCCACGAGTACGTTTTCCTGTTTCACAAAGGAGGACACCGAGACACAGAGAAATAAGGTGACTTGTCCACACTCCTACAGCTGCAAAGGGGTGGGAGGCAGCAGTGAGGTTCTGATGTGTGGCCTTTCCACCATGTGACCCATCAAGACCTCTAGAACCAGAATCACAGTGGAGATGAGGGAATAGAGGGTATAGGGTGCAGTGATGTGGTGGGCACTGGTGATGTTAATACACTTCCAGATGATTCTGTTAATAAGCCTCAGATGGAGACCTCTGCACCACATCATGTGGGCTCTTGGTCATTCTCTTC